CTGGGGTTGCCCACGTTTATCATGGAGAAAACTTGTCAGTGCACCCTCATTGGAGCTGAAATGTGGAGCTCACATCTTTCGTATCATCTATAATACCTAACCACCAAAGGTTTCTCGGAGTGCCAAAAGTTGGTGGAGGATCGACGATTTTTAAAAGTTGCCGAATTCGTGTGGGGGTGGAGGAGTTATTGCCCCCCTCCCCCACTTGGTGATGTCTGATAACCACATGTAAAACTCGTAGCTAACGTTTGTAATTGGCAGTGTCCGTGATGGGAAGAGGGGGACGTGAGCCGGAAAACTTCGACTTAAAACTTACCCTCACTATTTGCTTGGAAAACCTGTGAGTTCCACAAAAATTCTTGTCTTTTAGGAGTCAAAAACCATATGTGGTTGTAATCTCAGATGTATTAGTCACGTATATCACAATGAGAGCTCTTAAAACTCTTTGATTCCAGACATAGTCCTAGCTACTCTGTGAAACTCCATTTTTAATTTTTGGAGTCCTCATATAATTACTCTTCATTAAAATTTAGTAGAAAATAGTTGTTTGTACCTAGAGTTTTGACTTCTCTACAAATCGAAACTTTTCATACGGAAAAATGTAAGCTTTGAAAAAGAAACGGCAATTCCAGAGGCGACATTTACACTTTTTAAATACGTATACTTTTGTCCTGATAAATTTCTATGAAATCAGTCTTGCCGCAATGTCAAAGTTGGACGATAAGACTGACTTCTTAAGATCTATCAACTAATAACGTCAGAAATGAAGAAAAATGTGTACAACAGGATTAAAAACCTGAGTTTTCAGTGTAGCTGGCCTTTTTCTCTAGATTTGCCTATGTATGTTTGATGTTCAGGATGAAGACGGTATTGTCACGACGCATATTCTGGACCGTAGGGATAACTTTTCAAATTCTATCAATTGACCACATGAGAGCTACATAAAATTTGGGCAACAGGATAAAAAATGTAAAACATCGACGAATTAGCCTTTTCCATTGTTTTTCTACATATGTGTGGTTCACAGAAGTAAGCCACATTTACTGCAACGTAAAACTTGACGCATATCTCTATATTTTCAAGTTTCATCAATCCTCGGTCTGAGAAAGACGGAAAACAGATACAAAATAGTGGGAATTCCAAAAATCTCGACCATGTAGTATTTTGTTGGTAGATTTGTGTATATTTCTGTGATGGATCGGACGACAATGAGCTTGTAGAAAGAAAAAGTGATACTCTACCCGAGTTTTTGTGATTCTATCAATTCGCACACTCAGCAGTAAATAAAATAACACTGATTATGAAGACAATAATTGAGCTCCTCAAATATTGCCATATATGACGTACATTCTATGATAGCATAGTGACAGATTTTCGTTAGATCTTGTGATACAAGGCACTCCAAACGTTTGGTGGGAAAAAATCGTAAACAGCTGTGAAATTGAAGGAAAGGCATATCCAGATGAAATTTGATGCATCAAGATGTTGCATAGTCCTTAGAGTGCCCTCAAAATTTCAGTCAAAATAGATGATCCTTTTCTGAGATACTCCATTTTAAAGATATTGAAGTTTCCTGACTATTTTTTGGCTTATGAACCTTTCCTGAAAATCCTGTATATCGGCAAACAATCATTGTTTTCAGCCGAAATTTTGAGAATATTCTAAGGATCATTCGACCTTTTTACAGACCATATTTTGTCTTGAAATCCATTTACTTTTAGTTTTCTGTGCAGAGTATTGCGAAAAGTAGCACGAAAAAAGCCATAAAACACATTTGGACATTTTAAATGGTCCACCTTATTTTTCAAACAATTTGACTTTAGCTTGCTTCAAGTTTTATTTCATTCTCATAAAGAAAACTTCAGAGAATACGTATGGCATTATGAAAATCTCATGCCAATCGCTTGAATCGTTGAAGAGTGATTCATTCACAGTTTTTTAACGCCGCACTTTTGGGACACTGTGTAGATATGGAATAAAAAAGAGCAGACTACGAGGTGACCAAAATTGTGGTTGGTAAAATTTCTTTTCTATCTATTGTCTGGTTAGTATAAAAAGAAAATGAACAAAAATTTTGATTGCAGACATTGAAGAAAAGCGAGGAAATATTGTAGTAGCTCTACTTCGATTTCAGTTAATCTACTTTGTTGTTTGTTTTTGTTTCTCGGCTCAAAGATAAAAGGATAGTTTGAACAAAAAATAAATCCGTTACACTCTCACTGATATCAGAAACTCGTGCCTATCAGTGGTGTTATATTGATGTTCAAAGTCGACGTTTCTCGAGTTCGTCAAGTTCCCGTGGCACTTCAAGGCTCTAGTGTTGGATCTTTGATCATGCATATCGAATTCGTTTTGTTTTTGACTTCTCTTAGGTGTCACAGTCATCATATACAATTATTCTAGTATATATGATGCATTGATAGCAAATGTAGTTGCGGCTTCGAACAATAAATTCCGAACAGTATGTAAAGCATTAAATGTATTCCAGCGATTTGTATATTTAAGATGGGTTTTCAAAAAAATCTTCATATGTGAGATAGGCAGGAGACAAAACCAACAATAATGGTTTCTATGAGGTCTTATGCACAATTAGTGCGCTACTGACGCGACTGAAACATAGAGGGTGTCTTAACTTTTGTCATGCATACGACGAAATTGTGTCATATGATATTCTTCATCCTCGCCTATAATCTTTCTATGTGTATAAGGCTCCCCAGTCAGTGGCGTAGCCAAGGGGGAGGCAAATGGGCAATTGCCCATTTCATTTTAAGAGTTGCCCATTGTAATTTTTAAAAGTAAGACTTTGCCCATTGAATTTTCTAAATTGTTTAGTTCTTTGCTGCTGCATACATCTATAAAGATCTCAATATAAATCCAGATGAAATATGCAAATTATATACACAAATGCATCGTCGTTGTCTTGATTTAGGTGTTTGAATTTGAAATATAAATCTTATAAATAGAGACATTCCAAATAGACTAAACACACATGACTCAGTATTAAGGTCTCTCCACCCTCAAAAATCAATACCAGTTCCGGAACATTCTAGTGCCATGACATTCGGAGAATATGTTGTAGCTGTAATAGAGAAGCTATGGTAAAACTTTCAGTTCTATATCATGACGTTTGACAGAGATATCCACCAAACAAGGTTAAAAAATAGCTGATTCGGCATCCTAAATTTGTTGGCCCAGGGCCTTTATATATATTTAATTTTTTTTTGATTGAAAGAGTATGTCAGGATGCAGGGCACCAAAGACTCATATTTTTTTTGAATTTTTATCTCTTGAAAGGAGAGAAGAAATACAAGTTTGATGAGTCAAAACACTCTCTAAAAATGGAGCTCAATTTATAAAAGTGATTGTACATATAACAGAAAAAAAGCTTAACTAGAAAGAAGGACTCTTTGGTGTCGCATGTTTTGACATGCTGTTTCAAACAAAAAGAATTAAATACATACAGGGTGGTTAGAAAGTAACCGAGCAGTCTTTGATTGCGAATAATTTTTGAAAGGAACAAGAGAGAGAGCTGCAGTTTTTATCGTTTAAAAGAGAGAGAAAACTGCATCGAATCTTGAATACCGAATTTTTATAACAAAATTTCTCATGGTTTTAAAACAAGTTTCTTTAAAAANTGAAATCTTTGTCATAAGGTACAAACATATTGAATGTTTCCGTAGTATCTACATGTCGTTGCAGCTTTTATACCCTTTAACCAACTATTCAACTGATAGTTTAAAGATGAAATTGAAGCCCAATCAAGCAGCTATTAAATGCACAATATAAGTAATATTCTATCAACTCTTTTTATTAAAGAAGAAAGTCCATTATAAAAGGGCTAACTCTTATAATAATGAGCCAAAATATGTGAAATTGTGGAAAAGGTTTATTCATGAAAGCTTTGTGCGAACTTCATGAAACTTATAGCAATTACTAACCTCAACATTCTCTATCAATTGATATGTAAATTAGTATAGTAAGCCAAGTAAATTACCAATGGGCCGATACGGTATCTTATGCGCCCCCGTCCTTTGATGAACTTCTCTCAGGTGAGTTCTCGCTCATTGTCTTTTTTTCAGTAGCATTTCAATCTATTTTTCTCAAGCACCGTCCACTTGCTATTACAATATTGGAAATCTGGATGACAGGAGTGTCGATTGTGACGGTGTTATTTGCTCACGTCAGTGCAACACAAATCAAAAGTATACTGTGGCCTCGGACTATAAAAATGCAGCTTGTGCCACAGGAGTCTGCTTAGGTATGTAAAAGCATGTCCATTATCACAACAATGGATTACAACAGTTGCGCACAGTATAAAAACTATCAAGAATCACTTTTGGTTGACTTAACTGAATATATCCATGAATTTTCCCTAGCTCAATACTAGCTCATTACAATTAGGCATAGCCTACATATTGTGGTCTCTAGTTTGACTATTTTGATACAAAAAAATTTAGAATTAATTGTTAGTAGACCACACCTTTGTCTGATATGGGTCAGTTTTTTTCTGACCATACTCGAGTTTGACTGTGTGGGAGTTGTAATTGCACAGTTCTCAAACGGACAAGTGATAACACTCGTCCACGACATGATTGAAGAATAACTAATTGCTAGGCGAGATCTTTATGTCACATCTAACTAAGTATAACAAATATTCACAGGAAAATGTAAGAAAATCTTGGCTGCTTGCAAGCGTATTCAAAACAAAATCAGTTCCGTCTCTCAAGTCTTCTATCCGTTCGATGTTGAATATAATAATAGCATCAACCATTTTATCGGATCCTCGATTGCGTTCTCTATCTGTAGTGTTGAACCAGGCACAGCTGTCGATGTTGCAACAGTAGTAAGTAATATTATAGCTATGTACAGTATTTCTCTCGGTCACATACTTATTCATGTAGTTGACAATCATTAGAGAGACTCGAGTTCCATTTGCAATCAAAGGCGGTGGGCATTCATTCAATCCTGGATTCAGTTCGACAACGGGTATTCTTATTGCCATGAGACGCTTTCGTCAAGTAACGTACCATGCAAATAGTCAGACGGTAGATTTAGGACCTGGACTCGTGTGGGACGAGGTGTATCAAGCGCTAGATCCATTAAATGTTACCGTCGTTGGTGGCCGACTTCCTGGGGTAGGCATTGCTGGACTTATACTCGGTGGTGGCTACAGTTGGAAATCAAGTCAATATGGTCTCAGCATTGACAATGTACTTGAATACGAGGTGAGCACGAAATAATCATCTAAGAAGTTCTTTACCATACGTACATTCAAACAAAAATTGCTAACTTTTTCATCACAGAAATAGTAGTATTGGATCTCTTGAATATGTCTCATACGAAATTACAGAGATCATCTCTTATTAGCAGAGATAATTTTTACAAATACATGGTGTTTAAATCTTTTTCAGTGTGACCATGTTATCATCACGAAGTGTAGATTTTAATAAATTTTTATTTGAGAAGCTCCATTTTTCAACATTGTTATGAAATCATTTCATCTTTTATATGTCTTTCAGCTGATTTCTCCAGAGGGCAGGATTGTTTACGTGAACAGCATGTCGTATCCGGATATCTTTTTCGGATTAAAGGGTGGACTCAACAATTTTGGCATCGTATCCAGATTTACCATGCGTGCCGTACCACAATCAGAAGTCTATGGTGGAATTGTCATTTACAATCCACCTGAGTTCAACGCGCTTATGCAGGCTTTGGCCAATTTTCAAGCGAACAATAAAGATCCGAAAGCACAATTGACTGGAACGCTTCTTGTGACGCAAGGCCAATATGTCTTCCTATTTGTTATTTTCTACGATGCACCAACCGCACCATCGAGTATCTTCAACGATTTCATAAGTATTCCGCACTCTGGAACTCTCAATACTCAATCGTATTTCTCCTTTGTCAAGGCTGTACCAGTCGACTTAATCGCTACTCCAAGGTAAATCACTGTCATTCATATTTACAGCATATGTTGTAGGATAGGTCTATTTAGATAGTTTGAACGGAATTTTCACTTTCTACTAGTCTGAATAAAAATGATTTGTAGTACAAAATCCCACTATGAGATTTTTTCACGAAAATTATAAAATTATAGTCAAGAGTTATCTCCTCTCTTCTCAAAAGTAGCGAATTTAAATATTTTTTTTTCTTTTCTGATTATACAAGTTTGAGATGATCAGTTTGTGACGTTGTTTAAGTAAGGAAAGCAATAAATTTTACAATACTATGGTTGCAAGGAGCAATATACATACGATAGCTAACAAAAGCGTTTATTCAATGAACCTGCATTTAAGAATGAAAGATAACAGTTTCTTGTTTGAATAGAGGTCGCTGCAATACTGTCGCCCTCACACAATTAAACATCAATTTATTGCTAGCAATACACAATCAAGTCTTATATTATAACTCAACGTTGGGTTCGAAACCCGGGGCATACTTTGGAGTTACTAACGAACCATTTGTTTCGAGTTATTTCGATATGTCACAAGGTGGCGCTTATCCACATGTTGCTTCATCCGCACCACTTCTTCCTTTCCTTATTCAATTCGGTTGGACATTATCATCAGATGATGATGTGTTTATTGGTGGACTTAAGTCAATATCCAACGCCATTCTACAAACAGCACTTGATGATGGCCAAGATGTGGGTGGATCAAAACAGATTCTCTATCCAAATTATGCTCTCGAAGATACACCTCTCGAGAAAATGTACGGCAATAATCTGCCTAAACTTCGACGCATCCGCAAAGCATGGGATCCGAATAACATCATGTGCCTCTGTGGAGGTTTTAAGTTTTGAAAGAACTTATGAAAATGTGACTTTTTATTTTATTCAAGCTAATTTATCTTTCGCTTCTTCATATTTAATCACCAAATTTATTTTATACGAATAAAATCTGGTAAAAACATGTTTTATCAAAATTATACGTGTGAGAACTAAGAAGAAATATTCGCAGTCATCGAACTTCTCCTAAAAATATCTTTCATAGGATTCGATTCAAAACAACTACATAAATATATTACTTAGATCATAGCAAAAAACAGTGATGGAGGTACTTTACATCTTTATAAAAAGATTTACGAAACTTTCTTTGTTTGCAGTCTGATAGAGAAAAAGCCCTCTACTTTTCTATGCTATTTGATAAGGCTTCAACTAATATCATAATAATAAACTTTCGCTAAGACTTGTTTTACTATAATATGTGCTTGGTAGCACTAGTGCCTATTCACTGGGTATTTTTTTGGATAAGTGTTAATACAAACATGATAGAGAATTACGATTTTCATTTTTCGGAAGAGGGGATCAAGATTCATCGAATCATGCTTTTTATAGGTTTTTTCTGACGTGATTTTTTTAGAGGGTTTTCAATCAACCTTTTTGAAAACAATCATATTCGTGAGATGTTCACAATGAATTCTCAACTTTCACATGCATATTGAAATCGTCGATGGAAGATATGCAAAACTGTACAAGTTTCAGACATTTAGAATCAATCATTAAGAAGTAATAGGTATCACAGTCGAAGTTTTGAGTGATTTTTCTGACGATTTCTCTAAATGAAATTTTTACTATTTTTCTTTTTGATAAGAAACCATTGTCTCCACACTTAGAAAACTGATTAACCCTTTCGCATCGACATAATTACTGCTTTTTCATAATTTGTGAAAGGTTTCATTTCTTTATTTGTGACGACTGTAATAATTCAAAACAACTTTCATCAATGTTTCACTTATAAATATGAACTATGAACATTCCTTTATCAGTGATAAAAGAATCAGCTGCTTTGGTCAAAGTATGGCAGATATATTTAATTTTTTCTGTAGTAAATGAACTTTTCGGGTACCCTTTAGTGTGACCCATCGGTGGGCTACGTCACCACAAAAGGGTTAAACAAATAGCAGACCATATATTTGGGAAATGTATAATACATGCATCTTGATGTTCTCTTTCAAACAATGAAAAAAGCAGTTCTTGATCTTGTTTGTATCAAAATTTATCCAACAAAATACCCACTGAATAGGCAATAGTAATACCAAGCACATATCATAGTAAAACAAGTCTTACCGAAAACATTCTTTTCTTTATCAGACAATATAGAAAGAAAGTTTCTTAAATCTTTTTATAAAGAATTGAAGTACCTTCTTTACTGTTTTTTGGTATGACCTAAGTATAATAGTATCATCTCGCTTGCATTTGTGATAGTCAGTTACAATCAAAACACTTCCGCATATTTTGAATCTTCTTATCAGCATTAGTTTTAGAGAACAAAAAAAAATGTATGTATCTCTATTGATTAAAATATCAAGATGATGAAGAGGGTTAAAAATCACATCAATGAAATTTATTGAGAGAAAACTTTTAGTTAATGAAACTGTTAAAATTATCATGCATTTTATAAAAGACTAAAATTTCCACTTCCGTACGTAGCTCCATCTCCATAAATATGCAAAGTGTGAGTATTTGTTGATCTATAATAATGTATATTTGAATCTGTTTGTATATCATTCGTTTGCCAACTGTTTCCATACGATGATATTGGGTTTGAAAATGCGTATAATTTATTATCGTGTGCACTGTATAGGATATCTGTAGCTTGAAAATAATAAAAATTATAAATAGCAGTTCCAAACCATGCTTGACTAAATTGTGAAGTAGAATCAAATGATGATGATATTGGAGTTGAACTTGTTGAAAGAGATGCCGTTGAAATTCCAAATGAATTCGAATATGATAAACATTTATCCGCTTTTATTTTCCATGTTGTTAAATTTTGATAAGTACCACTCGATATTAAATATGATTCAAGTAAATAAATATCACGAGAATCTAAAAGCATTGGACTTCCAGACATAACATCATCTGGGTCCCATGCATTCATCATTACTCCTAAATTTAATGAATGACAATAAGAAATCATTGTATTTTGACGAGAACGAGTTACACCATAATCATAACTAAAAAAATCAATTGTATTTCTTTTTAATTTAGAAAACTCCTTACCCAGCATCATCCCACAAGATTCCTTTGATTTCCATAGCTTGCCAGTCATCAACAGTTGTTTGCATTTGTAAAATAGATAAGTTTTTTGTTGTAACTCCTAGATCAATATAACCAAAACTTAACTTTCCAAGATTATTTAATGATTGAATAATTATTTGTGTATTAGCATGATCACCATGAGAAGATGAAGCTATTCCGTCACCAAAAACAATCACATCAAATTGACTGAATGTGTTGATGGCTAAAGTTAAATTTCCATAAGCACCATGAACTAATGATGGCCATACATAATAAATACCAAGACGTTTAGGAACATTCACATTTAATGAATTTGAATTATTATTCGATCCTGAAGTCAAAGAAAATGCATAGATATTATCTATTCCTTATAAACAGTTATAGCTGATTCATTATTCATGTTTGTCTAAGATAATTTTTATTTATTATTACCTTGATTAATTTTTAGAATAACAATTAGTGGAATAATAGTAGCAGTCATTACCAAAAACAATACACCAATAATCGCTAAAATTAAACCTAGTTTGGTGAAACCATTTGTGGATGTACAACAACAGCATTCTGAAGCATATCCTATCTTCTTCTCACGATTATGTCGTTCATCTTCGTCATCGGTTGAGTCAAATCCAACAGGTTTCCGCTGAGTACTATTAATACGAATCGATGATGTTGGGAAAACGCGTGACTAAAATCGATTTTGAAAAATTAGTGCTTAACAAGGAACTGAATACCTTCATTATTGTTACTTCAATCCATAGTCTGAATTTGAATAAATGTCTTCTATGCTTTTGTTGTATGAATAATAACATTCTGTTAAGATTGAGTTTTTATTCTCTTTTGCAATAAAAACATCATTAAGTGAAACCATATTAATAGACAAAAGCATCAATATTCTAAGTCTTTATATCTACATACGTAAAACGATGTTATTATTGTTTTAGTTTACTTCAATTTTTACTTTAAAAGAAATCTTATTTTTCTCCGTTAACAAAACCTATGTTTTTTTCTTTTTGCATCACTAGAGAAAAAAAAGCCATCAAATAATACAAATAATTCTTTTCAAATCTACTTATTATTATTGTCCAAATCGTTTTGATTGAAAAACCGCTATTAAATTATTTCCAATGCTCAATCACTTCGAGAAATACAACATTTAAAATTTCAATCTATTTGAAATTTTGCACACAGTAAAGGAAAGTTATTTATGAGTTTCATAAGATCATTCAATTTCAAGAACTCAATTTTTAAATCACTTCTATCAACTGAAAATGTGAATTTATTACTAACGGCATGATGTTGTAGTAAAGCTTGCTGAAAGAAAACTTTAAGCGCGAGTTAACTCGAGATTTAACAAAAAATTCCTTGAAAAAAAAATGAATCAATAAAAGAAAATGAGTAATACGATCAACAAGTTGAAAAGATCTCATATATCTGTTTAGTTATCAACTTGAGCAAAGACTTCTTTAAAAAGGTATTTCATTCTAATATTAAATTACGTAATCATTAAAGATAAAAGTTCTATCAAGAACAAAATCCAATGTTTCTTACTCATAAGTTGTATCTGAAGTACTAAAATATAGTATGTACTTAATTCGTTTTCTGTTTCATAGTCTCATTTTTTATTAACATTTAAATCCTCCAATGTATAATTTCACAAGCAAAACTTTTCTTTAATGAACTTCCAATGCTATGACTACTTGCAACAATTGTATTTGTAAGACCTTTTTCAACGAATTTAATTCGGCTACCTAAAACTAATGATCGAAATACGATAGTCGTGTTTTTGTAGACCTGATGATGCACTTCGATGTACTATCCTGGAATAAGTATATTTGAACCGTTTTTTCAATTTCTTTTTTATAAATATAAATTTTTAACAACTAGCTTTTTTCTTTTGTTTCGCTTTATTTGCTATGATGCGATTGCTATTCATCCCGTGAGTTCATCTTTGGTCATACAAATCAAATAAAGCCCGTAAAAGAACAATAACAATTGTCTCTGCAAAATATGATGGTTGTAGCCACTTTAACAATAACTGAAGAATGAAAAGACTTAGAGAGCTTTGTTTTTCACTGTTGCTTAACTCAATGAATACTCTATAAATTCACCAATAAACACTTGAGATCTTTGCAGTTTTAAGTTTTCATCATCATGAATTTTTTGAAATATTTTTTTGCGACCATTTTAGTTCCTTAAATACTTAGATGCATAAACTATTTGAAAAATAATTCAAAAGGTCCTTTAAAACGGCCGTAAAACTGATTTCTCTAGTTTTTGTGGCTCTTGAAGCTTATTCATAACCCTCAAAACTCATGAAAACGATTCTATTCATGAAGTAGTAGACTTTATTGTGAAGTGATGAGTAAAAAATAAAGCGTCTTAATCAAATCTCATAAGACAGAAATTTCAATTTCAGGTGTGCAATTTCAGAGAAGTTGAATATCTCTCTTTTTAAATATGTAATACTTCATACAATAGCAGCACGCAAATTCATATTTTTTGTTTTCGCTAATTCTCAGTTGAATACACCGACTAGTTTATATCTGAATAGAGCACGTTCATTGTGTTCATAAGATCGATTCCAAAAAGATGAAATCTTGTCTATCAAGTATTTTACTCGATGCTTTTTTTGATTATTGATACTGAAAGAGCTCGTTTTTATGAATTTCAAAGATATGAGTAGTCTTCGACGGCAACAAAAATTAGAGAGATCGGTGTGGAAATCTTAAAATTACGAAGATTTCAATTATTTATTGGTCAAGTTATCAAGGATTCATTGATCTAAGTTAAGTAATAGTGAAGAGCGCAGCTTTTTAGCTCTTATTTTTCTTCAAGTATCAAGGAGACAATAATTCTTATTTATGCACAATATTATGCTTTCTAAAGAATATTCCATTTAGAAAGCAATCTAATGACTAATTGGTATAGAGGCTTTTTGCAATTATTCATATGTTTATCATTTTTCTCTCTTTCACATTATTGAGAAACGAGAAAAGTCTTATTTTCTAGATGAAACCATCTAAGCTTCTTCTCGATTTACATGGTCATAACCGTTTTATCGTGCAGCTGGAAAAATTTTCGAAAGACGTGAGATTGTAATCCTATGTATCTAATAATGACATCTTATAACATTCGTATGAATGTTATATTATGAGTTATCGCAACTTATAACTATATATGCTGAAGAGTAAAGATTTCGAGTAGATTTGGATTACTCATTCTTTATATGGTAGTGGCTATTTGTTTAATATAATGAAGATAACTGGAATATATTTAGACATATATTCTTTTGTAAAGACAATAGTATTCTGAACAATCGACAACAAAAATATAGTATGAGAATATGAGGTTTATTAAATATTGTTTAAAGGTCACATCATATCGATATTGGTCATTAACGCAGTACCGACTGTTAAAAGGTGTTGCATGTGCTCAATAATTCACACAGAACTTGCAACTATTTAATATAGCCTGATTCAATTATAATCACTGATGGTAAAGTAAGTATTGGTTTATACAGATTTTGTTGATATTTTGGAAGAAAAATCATAAAAACTGAAAACAACAAAATAAAGTGAAAATTCATTTAGTTAACATTTTAAACGAAGATTTGAAATTTAATTATGAATTCGTTTCGTGAAACATGCGTAATTCTGCTTGTTGGTATCAGGTTCGTTTTTTTGCTTTCCAATGAAGAGATTTCTACTACTGAAGAATTGGGCAACTAGTATCTGTTAAAGTTTTTTCGTCTTCGTCTTACATTGTGTTATTATCGCTTTAGAACTTTTTCTATCTCATCCACACATATCAGCATCTTAGTAAGAAGAAATAGTCTTTCTTTCTGTCATACGTGCCTAACGTTTTTTTCTCGATTGTAAAAGTCTCTCAAGTTGAAACTCAACTGACTTTCAGATGTATAAAATAGACTACTGTCAAAGATAGAAAATAATAAAAGATAACTACGTTTAGAATCTTCTATTCTCCATGATCTATTTTTTAATTTTGCAGTATACAATGAATTGCAGATGGGTTTCAAAATAGAAAAATCAAATGCTGAACTAAGTATGTCAAGAATACAAACAAAAAGGCAGAAATAAAATCTCGAATAAATAGCTAAAATGTCTTTATAAACGACTTCTCAGCGACTTGTTTAACAGTGTTCTTGTATGCATAATCTGTTGAATAAACTTGATAGGAATAATATGTTTGAACTGACGGATGTGTGAAATTTGACGAATAAAATACGCTTAAAAATATTTGATTTTATGAGGAAAACGTACTCGTTCAAATAGAATAAAACAATTGAAAATGATCAAATACTCGTTATATCTATTATATTTATAGATAGATAGATGGAACTAAAAAAAGAAACTTTTTTCTTGTCATTAAAGTAACATTAGAGAATACAAAAAGTATCAATTTACTGATTTTTCGAATAGATTGAACATATAGAAAAACGTACAACAATAATGACAACACTTACATGTAGTATTAAAACTTTTCTTTCATGTCATATGAAATTACGTTCTCTTATTTGTTTGTTTTTACAAAATACTTGTAAACAAAGACTTCACTATTTTCATTTGAGTTTCATAATCAAGTTAATGAGTGCAAATTTATTTTGCACGGAATTCCTATAAATTTAAAGTTTCTACAAGTACTTACTCAGTTAGCAAGATGTTAAATAATAATTTGTAAGGCACTTCATGTAATTCATGTGTATGACATCAACAATTATCAGTATTATTTTATATATCTTTGTTGTATATTTGATTATAGAAACTTGAATGCTTATAAAACTTAGATTCAGTTAAAATATGAGTGTGGGTGTGGGTGTGACGTGTGAGTGTGGATGTGCGTGTGGGTGAGTGTGGGTGGGTGGATGTGGGTGTGGGTTTGGACGGGATGTGGGTGTGTGTGGGTGGGTGTGGGTGTGGGGTGTGAGTGCGGGTGTGGGTGTCGGCGTGGGTGTGGGCGTGGGTGCGGGTGTGGGTTTGGACGGGGTGTGGATGTGGGTGGGTGTGGGTGTGTGGGCGTGAGTGTGGGGTGTGGGTGTGGACTAGAATGGTTGCTCACACCTGCATCGACACGCAAATCCACACCCACACCTACACACCCAAACCCACACCCATACACACCCACACCCACCACACCCACATCGCACACCCCGTAAAAAAAGTTCATCCCCCTAGCTTGTTCCTAGTGAGATATCGAGGTTTGGGTGAATTTTTTCCTATAAGACCCCACATTTGCAGCAGGGCCATATTTTTTAATTTTGATCTGAAACTTTGTCCGCACAAACATCTCAGCTAGACTAGTTTGCATAAAGATTTTCAGAACTGTTGGGCAAAGTCTCTCCGAGATATAAAGCTTTCAAAAAATGCATGCTTTATACGCTATCTATGGAAAACGACCTATACGTTGAGAGCTTCATATCTCGGAGAGACTTTCTCCAAAAGTTCTGAAATTTTTTATGCAAACTAGTCTAGCTGAGGTGTCTATGTGGACAAAGTTTCAGATCAAAATTAAAAAATATGGCCTTGCTGCAAAGGGTGTGGGTGGGTGTGGGCATGGATGTGTGTGGGTGGGTGTGGGGTATGGGTGTGGGTCAATGTGGGTTAAGCTAAGACTGACGTCCACACCCACACCCGCACCCACACCCACACCCGCGCCCACCCCACACCACCAACTCTTTACATATCAAAACTAAGTTATTAATTGGGGCACATAGTCAGACCATGTTTTGATAAAGAAGGATATATATATATTGTATCTAGATAAAGTCGTTTGACAAACCAAAATAAAAAATTTGTATAGATCTTTGAATATTGAAAATTACATTGTCACCGTTGAATTTCACTAAAATTCATATGATTCTGTTTCAAATAAACCAGTTGTCGATTGAAATTAAGCAATTCCGATTCATTTTGATGAGAAGAATTCTATTTAAAAAAATTCTCATCGCACTAGTTTTCTTTTCTAGATTCATTTTCAAAGATTTAAAAGTTCTTCTATTAGAAGAAGATCTTGCTACAAGAACGACTATTCTTTATTCAAGAATGATGTTTTGTGACATTTTCATATATTTATGTATAGAGTATTTCACCAATATCTAGATGGTAATTCATTAAAATCTTTTAGTGTTTAGAGTTTTTTATTTAGAAGTGATGATATATTTCACGCAGCGATACTTTATATCTATACCTACTATTGCTTGCGAATTTATCACTTTCTTTTTTATTGATCTCTGAATAATTCTCAACTTTATCAAATCAATGCATACGCCGATTGAAATATAAAGTCTGTTCATGATATTTAGCTAAAGATGCACGTTGATCAACTTTAACATCGTCAATCTAGTCGCAAACCATAATGTAGATGCTAGAAGTTTACAATTTATCTTTTGCAAGTTCAAGTTTCTGAAATAACTTTGTTTCATGTCTTAGCAATCTATTCTATATGTACATTAAGATTCTCTTCAACTTTTCGATGAAAACAATTTCAAAACTAAGAAAGCTTTCCAAAAAACCTTTCTTTACATTATGACATATTTGTAAACGTTCTTGCTCGACAAAATAAATGTAAGCTTTAGACAAGTGATTCTTGAATATTCGTTCGATTTTAATCCTCTTTGCAATATGATGCTAATCATATATAGCCTATAGATAAAAAATCTTCATAAAGTGCAATCACATAAAGAGAAAGTAAAAAAAATATAATATTAAGTTTCTTCAATAGTCCTTTGTTTACATATTTTATCGTCACATGTTCACTCATCGTACAGACACGAACGAAAGAAAACAAATCCATGACAACAATAATAAAAATTGCTTTATACTTCTTTTATTGATTTATCTTGTCTGTATCAGTTGTATGTTCAAAATAAACTCAAAAGAATCATGCAATTAACGTTTTGGTCAATGCTTTTTATTCGAAGAACATAATTTTGCGTTTGAACAAAGACAACAAACATCTAATACAATAATGGTGTTTTTTTTCTTACTTTTAAATTAAAAAACACATTTAATATCTTTAACATCATTATCAATTTTAGTTTAAAGAAATACCAGCCATTCTTTTCAATATTTGTCAATTGTATGCGAGCATGTATGACTTTGTTTCACATGCATACAAGAAAAAAAAATTATCAATTAGCGCATCTTTTGTACTATGTTTTCCATTGACATACGCTTGCAACATACATAGTTCTAGTGGTACATGTTTGCATAGAGCAGAAGTTTTTCTCATTGCCACTGTAAAATATGTTAAAATTGTGTGAATGTTAAATGTGAATAAACACAATTTGAATATTATTTCTTTATGAGTCGTATAAATTAATCAAAGCAGAATAGTTACAGAAAATAAGAAAACAAAATTTCGTTTCATTATATATATATTTTCTTTTTCGAATGAACATGAATCAAAAATTACTTTAGTCAGATTGTGAATGATAATTTACAGATTCTGAACATGGTATGCCTAAAGCCCATAACTACAAGTGAGCAGCTCTTAAATTATTGCAATATCTATTCGGTATATTCGGCAAGTGGATATCGTTGTTTAATTGTTGCCAATATAAAAACTAAAATAATGTTTATTCTTGTTTCGTTCACATTAACAGCATATCAATCGTAGGCATAATGAGAAAAAAAATCACGCAAACGATGTCCTTCGTGTTTTTTTTTCGTTCTTCTCAACAAGAGAAAAAAAAACGTCATTTTGAAAGAATCGAAAAAAAATATACAAGGTATGAGACAAGATATCTAATGCAAGCAAACTTAAGTCCCGGTTCACATAAAACGTAAATGAAAATGGAAAAAAAGTAATCATACCATAAATGACATTGATGGTTTTTTTCGCTTTAATTTGTTTTTTTGACAAGTATACCTTCGATCGATGCTAGGCATAGATTGTTATTGACTATCAACGAAAAAAACAAAATATTCACATTTGATATCGTAGAAAAATCTAGAAAAAAAAACAACATGCATCGAATGTATAAATATAAAAGGTAAATTTTGTCCATACAGCTTATTAAATATTAGATCGAAAATGAGTCAACAACGAAGACAACGTATGGCTGAAAACTATTTAGTCATCTGGGTCGATGCCAACATTAATATGGAAAATGAAGATTGTCAACATACACTCGCGCAATTGCGAGGTATTGTCAATGAAGTGAAGATTTGCATTACACCAGAAGAATGCATTCGATTACTCAATGACAATAAGGAGGAGATATCTTTCGTTATTTCCTCTGGTAAACTTGGACAAGTTCTTGTACCAAATATCCACGGAATGCGAAACCTTGATACGATATACATGTTTTGTCATAACAAGGAACTTCATCAAGAATGGGCTCAACATTGGACAAAAATTAAAGGCATCCACAAAACAATCAAGTCCATATGCAATGCATTGCAAATAGCTGTCAACCAATGCAATCGAAATAATACAGTGGTGAGTATACTTAGTGCTGATGCTGGTAGTTCTAGCGAAAGTCTCAATCAGCTAGAACCATCTTTCATGTACACGCAAATCTTCAAGAAAATTCTCCTTAATATGAAACATGGCCAACAAGCCATCAGAGAATTAGTCAAGTTTTGCCAAGAACAATACGAAGGTAACAAAAACGAACTCAAAATTATTGATGAATTCCAGCGCACTTATCATCCAACATTGGCAATATGGTGGTATACTCGCGAATGTTTCACGTTCAAGATGCTGAACCGAGCATTACGAACGCTCGATGGTGACATTATTATCCGAATGGGATTTTATTTGTGTGATGTCCATCGACAAATAGAAGATTTACACAGCAAGCAAATCAATGAATATCATGGTAACACATTTCCACTTTATCGAGGGCAGGGATTCCTACCGGCAGACTTCGAAAAAATCACTAAAAGCAAAGGTGGGCTTATTTCGTTTAATAATTTTTTATCCACCAGTAAAAATCGAGATGTCTCTTTCAAATTCGCGAAGGATGCCTTAGGAACAGAGGATATGGTCAGTGTTCTTTTTCAAATGACTATCGACCCGAATGTGTCATCAACTCCATTCGCCTCCATCCGTGAGCTGAGTGATTTCGCGCAAGAAGATGAAATTCTCTTCTCGATGCATACAGTTTTTCGAATTGGTGAAGTTCGGAAAATTGACGAGAAAAGTCCACTTTATGAAGTGGATCTCAAGCTGACGGCAGATGATGATCAACAACTCCGTCAATTAACCAATAGTATAGTAGAAGAGATCGATGGGGATGGATGGCACGGAATGGGCAAATTGCTGCTCAAAATAGGTCAATTGGATAAGGCCGAAGAATTATATACCGCATTACTAGAACAGACATCGGACGACTGTGATAAAGCACATATCTATCACATGCTTGGATGGGTGAAAGATGACCGAGGACAATACAAAGAAGCAGTTTCATTTTATGAGACATCTCTCAAAATCAAGGGGGAAACTGTTTCAGAAGATCATCCTTCATTGGCGATTTCCTACAATAACATCGCCCTAGTGTATAATAACATAGGTGACTACTCGAAAGCACTTGAATTTTACGAAAAAGCACATAAAATAAAAGAAAAAGCTCTGCCTCCCAGTCATCCAGATTTGGCTAGTTCCTACAACAACATTGGTGGAGTGTATTACGCCATGGGTGACTACTCGAAAGCACTTGAATTTTACGAAAAAGCACATAAAATAAGAGAAAAAGTTCTGCCTCCGAATCATCCCGATTTAGCTGTTTCCTACAATAACATCGGACAAGTGTATAACAACATGGGTGACTACTCGAAAGCAGTTGAATTTTACGAAAAAGCACATAAAATAAAAGAAAAAGCTCTACCTCAGAATCATCCCGGTTTGGCTATTTTCTACAACAACATCGGTGGAGTGTACTACAGAATGGGTGACTACTCGAAAGCACTGGAATATCACGAAAAAGCACATAAAATATTTGAAAAAGCTCTGCCTCCAAATCATCCCGATTTGACTACTTCATACAACCACATCGGTGGAGTGCATGACAGAATGAGTGACCACTCGAAAGCACTTGAATATTCCAAAAAGGACTTGGAAATCACAAAACAAGCTCTGCCATCGAATCATCCTGATCTGGCTTATTCATACAACTGGTTTGGAAAGATTTATAGCAGTATGAAAGATTATCCAAGAGCACTTGAGAATTTTGAAAAGTGTCTCTCAATATGGCAGAAAGCATTACCTGAAAATCATCCCCTTCAGGCTTTGACATATAGTAATATTGGTGATGTTCATCGATTAATGGGAGATTATGAAAAAGCACTTTCATTTCATAGAAAAGCGTTAAATATTCAAGAAAATGTTCAATGTAATTCTCTACAATGTGCAACAACATATATAAATTTAGGTGAAACTTATCGAGAAATGAAAGATTATTCAACAGCATTGACATATTTTCAAAAAGGATTAGAAATGCGTCAGAAGAAATTACCAAAAGATCATCCTGATTTAGCTGTTGTATATCACAATATGGCAAAATTATATTTATCTACTCGACAATATAATATGGCAATGACAAATATTCAACAAACGATTGAAATTGCACAAGAAAAATTACCTTCAACTCATCCTCATCTTTCGGCCTATAAAGAAACATTTGAAAAAATTCGAAAACAAATGTAAAAGCTTTTTTTCCTTCCTGTTTGCTTAATAAATTCATTTCGATTGCTATTCATTTTCTTTTTCGGTTTGCTTTTCGACGCATTTTCGCGTACGCGCGCGACCAGGGAGAGACCCTGTAAGCCTGAAATGGGTACACGCAGAGCGGACCACGTCGGACTGGTAGGGCATGATCGTAGGTATGACGTACATAAAGACGACAGGGACCTACGAACAGAAAGGCCTTCCCGAGTACAACACTGCTTTCGCCATAGCAGACACAAGGAATCTCCCTGGGTCAGATTACGAAGCCACCTGACAGGCTGTCATAGAAAAAGAAACAAAAATAGATAAACCTCCTAACGAAAAACAAAAAAAATTTCTATCTTGAAAAGTTCTCTTGATCACTAAAACTTTTCAAGGTAGAAAATTTTACTATCCCTCTCTTCTACTTCTTAAGAGAAAAAAAATATAAGCAACATACTTTATTAATGATTGAAATATAAAATATAAATAATACTATATATATCATTGGCATAACGTTATGTATATAATAATTTCATTTAAATAAATATTTCTTGCACCCCCTGTAAAAAAGAAAAAGATTATTAGAATACTTATTCAATATTATGATGATAGAATATTGAATTGTATTGAATGATTTCATAGAAGAAAATCATTCGATATATATATGTTTTAAACATAAAGTATACGTCAATGATGATCATTTTCATTGTTGTCGTCGACGGTCACAGTTCATTGTTATACTATGACATTGTAATGAATAAGTCACTAATTATAAATGAAAATGAAATAATGACAAAAGAAAAAAAGAAACGAATATATTACATTGTTATAATTTCATTTAAGGCCCCCCTCTCAGAAAAGTCAATTTTTCGAAAAAAACTCGATTGTGAGATTTATACATATTTTGATAGCCCTTGTAATGAACTACAACCTAGCATAATTTGTTTTTCCAAAACATGTACATTGGTTTCTTTTTCTGGCGAAATTTTTTTCTGAAGATGTGCTACTGATGCATAAAGGATATTTCATACTAACCGAAAATACAGTGCTAATGATATTTTTCGTACTTTTGCTTGACCGATAGAGCTGAAATTTTTATGACATATAGAACTAATCAAGGTCTTTTAGTTCTGAAAGTTGCAGGTCTCTAGCTATAACTAATGATAAAATACATCGACCAAATTGAAATACATAAATTTTCGTACTCGGTTTTTACTGAAAAATGAGGGAAAATCGAGTACAAAAACTTATGTATTTCAATTTGGTCGGTGTATTTTACCGTTAGACATAGCTACAGAGCTGCAACTTTCAGAATTAGAAGATCTTGATTAGCTATATATGTCGTAAAAATTTCAACTCTATAGGTCAAACAAAAGTATGAAAAATATCATTAACACTGTNTATCTAACCCTCCCTCACCCTATAACCCCCTGTCTGTAACGGTCTGTGAGGGGGGGGGGGTCCAAATTTCTACCCCTAAACACTTCAACACTCCTTTCAGATCGTGTTTCACAAAAGGTAATAAAGATACTGTATGAATAAAGTAATTTTTTGATGTACGCACAAACTATGCTTACACTTGTTTCATTAATGTTTTGGAATCAAAAAGTGAATGTTATTGTTATAATAACAAAAAAAAATAACAATAACTTTCTCACCCCTATTCAAAGTTAAAACAAATTTCTTTTACGTTTTTAATGGACCAGGGTCATCTGTCAAGCGAAGGCACAACGATTGTGTGTAAGACAATTGTGTGCAGACGATTGTATGCATGGATAATTGTGTGCAAGACAGTTGTTTGAAAGACAGTTCTGTGGATGGATAATTGGGTGCAAGACAATTGTGTGCACAGTCCATTATGTGCAAATAAATATATAGTCAAAAAATGAACGTCAATCACCACAAATAAAAGTACAGAAAAATAACAAATATAAATAAAGATGAACAAATTAATGAACATTTATGACATAAATGTATGGGCAGTTGTTTTTTTATTTTCTACATAGGGGTATCCAAAAGTAGTGGCAACGACATTTTAGTATCACATATTAAGCTTGATGAAAGTTTCTTTTTACATAGGATGATAGAGAAAAAAATGCTCTTTCTTTTTATGCTATTTGATCATGCTTCTGTTGACGGCATAACAATAAAGTCCTAATAAGACTAGTTTTCATAACGTGTGTAACGGTTACAGAAGTTCATATTGTCTTCAATATGCATTCTTTTCTTGATCTTTTCTTTGTTTTTCTTCTTTCCTTTATTCTTTTCTTTCATCTCTTCTGAGACTTTACAGTTTATTCATATTAGCATACTCGAAAATTGAAAATACATAAACAAGTTCAAGAAGTCTTTATTTCATTAAATGTTCAAAAGTAATTGCCCTGATTATCTACACACAATTGAATTCTTTGAATCCATTTATCAAACGTTTTTCTATACTCTTTTTTATCCAAACAATACATAAACTCGGTTATAGCGTGATGTAACGATTCTGAATTAGTTTGATCAGTTAGATTTCGTTTGATTAAGTCGAATAACCAAAAATCACAGGAGACACATCTGGAGAATTGGGTGGTTGTGGTACTATAGTAACTCCTTCTGAATCAAGATAATCGAGGACATCTTTATGAACATGTGCTCCTCCGTTATCATGATGAAGTTTGATGGCATGAGTACCTGAGAGAGCTCTTTGTTTCTTGATTTCTTGGATAACGGGTTGCAAACAGTTTTTGATGTAATATTGGTGATCGATCGTTTGCCCATGTTCGACACGATGGATTAGAAGAAACCAGTTGATTTAAAGAAAATGCAAAATAAAATTTTCGGAGCAAACTTATTTCGTCGCACTATTGTGGGTGGAGGATCTTCTTTGGCCACCCAAGCAGCATTGGAAGCTTTTCGACCAGTTTGCTGATGGAAAAACCACGATTCATCACCTGTTACCACGTCACAAAACGTCATCTTTCTTCTTCAAATTTTGACAGATTTTCTTTGCATATTCGAACTCGTTCACTCCGTTAATAATCCGTTAGCTGTTTCGGTTTGTAACGAGCAGTAATTTTTCTAAGCTCCAGATGATCAGATAATATTCTATGAACGGTGCCATAACTTAGACCAGTATGCTCTTGTAATTCTGCTATTGTAACATGAGGATCATTACTAACAATACTATGAATCTCTTCAATATTTTCAAGAGTACTCAGTTACAGGTCTTCTGGGTCGTTCTTCATCTTCAATTTTGTCTCGACCTTCACGAAATCATTGGGCCCATCTTGCAACTGCTTGATAAGAAGGAGCTTAATTACCAAAAACAGTACTTAGCTCGTCATGAATAGTTCTTGCTTCAATATTAAGTGCAGTACACACTTTAATGTAGAAACGAAAATTTTCTTTATCCATTGAAAGCAACAATGAAGAGTGTTAAGATTCGATTTAACTTTACTTCTTTCACTTTCTATAGGGAGCCACTATGGCTGAATGGTTAAGATGTTTCACACATATCCACAAGATACTGTGTTCGAACCTCGGCTCCATCAGTCATAGAATGACCTTGGACAAGTCGCTAACGGCTGTTTTGTCTCGGACCACCTATCCGATAACAAATTGACTACGTAGTTGACATACACTAAATGGTCCTTGTGACTAGTATATGGTTAGTCAGTATGTATGGGGAGCTTAAGAAATTAAGCGAGAAGAACTCTGAGTCAGGCCGGTCTTCTGTCCAGAGCTACATTTAGTAATAGATGCAGGAAAATATCGGGCTTCTCGAAACTGTCCTCGGACAGCATCCTATACTGCAAGGTAGCCGAAAGGCGGAGTATTCTTCTTCACTTTCTATAGAATAGAATAGTACACAACACTTGCACAAAAAGAGGCATGTGTCTTTGTATACATATGATAAATGATAAAGTCTCAGAAGAGGCGAGAGAAAAGAATAAAGGAAAGAAGAAAAACAAAGAAAAGATCAAGAAAAGAATGCATATTGAAGACAATATGAACTTCTGTAACCGTTACACATGTTAGGAAAACTAGTCTTATTAGGACTTTGTTGTTATGCCGTCAACTGAAGTATGATCAAATAGCATAGAAAGAAAGAGCATTTTTTTCTCTATCATCCTATGTAAAAAGAAACTTTCATCAAGCTTAATATGTGGTACTAAAATGTCGTTGCCACTACTTTTGGATACCCCTATGTATTTTATCAGATGAGTGATTACTTCTTATTCTCACGTCCTTTACATATGTTCAAGGAAAATGATGTTGTACAGATAATGTGTCCCAACGTCTAATTGAAAAATCTCGACAAAATCTATTTTGCTTTAAAACGACAGCGCTAGCAATATTTCTGAAAAACATCACCTTGTTCACCTCCAACCCAATGTGTAGGTGTCACTGCAAATAAAGTCCTTTGCCAAGAATTTTAGTCCGAGACAAACAAATTTATAAAAGAATAAAGGAGAAGTGACCATGTCTAAATTCTTTATCAGCTCTCGTTCGAGATGACATTATTTCAAAGTGAAAAATTTCAACATTTTGGAACTTGGAGATTGTCGTTTTTAAGACTTTTCATTTTTGAGGTTTCTATTTTTGAGATTTCGAAATTCCGACAGTAATTTCATTTGCATACTCTTTTTATTTTGTATGTAACTGGGGGAACTTAGATAAACCGTCACTTGTGTTCAACATGTTTGCGAAAATAATGAAGTCATATCTTTATCATGTATAAGCAGTATCTAAGTAGTAGTACAATGATTAATTCATTTTTTCGGAGTCTTGAGGTTTTCCATATAATTGATGTGTACACGATCGCTATTCTCATAATTGTCTTACACACAATTGTTATGGACCCCTGTCAAGTACCCAGTTCTATGCCATGCGTATTTTATCATTGGTTTGAAAACTTCTGAACACATTCGTGAATGTACGAATGACTGTGGCTGAATTAAATTATTACGTTCGAACAAATTAATATTTATTTTGTCTAGGCTTACGTGATC